GGGGGTCAACAGTGGGAGGGCTTCTGGAGTCCTGGCCCCACTGGTGGACCTCCTGATGGCACTGGTATTTCTGGCCACTGTGTGATACAGAGTGTTGGACTGGATGGGCCTTTGGCCTGATCCAACATTGGCATCTCTTATGTTCTTATGTTCTTAACAAGAAGAGGAGGAGGAAGAAGAAGAAGACAAAGAAGAGGAGGAGGAGGAGGAGATTAGATTTATACCCCGCCCTTCACTCGGAGTCTCAGAGCATGAAACACATGGGAAACACGGCAAGGAGGTGGTGGTTCCGCTCTATTCTGCTATGGTCAGGGGCCTCACCTGGAGTCCTGTGTCCAGTTTTGGGCACCACATTTTAGGAAGGATGTTGACAAGCTCGAGCGTGTCCAGAAGAGGGCAACCAGGAGGGTGAGAGGGTTGGAATCCAAGTCTTATAGGAGGAAAGGCTGAAAGCATCGGGTCTGTTTAGCCTGGGAAAGAGAAGGCTTAGAGGGGACACGATTGCAGTCTTCAAGTATTTGAAGGGCTGTCATGCAGAAGATGGAACAGATCTATTCTCTCTTGCTCCGGATCGCAAGACTAGATCTGATGGTTGGAAATTACAAGGGAGTCGATACAGGCTAAATATCAGGAGGAACTTCCTAACTATAAGAGTGGTTGAGCAGTGAAAACAGTCTGCCTCGGGAGGTGGTGGATGCTCCTTCGCTGGACGTTTTCAAGCGGAGGCTGGGCGACCATCTTTCGGGTATGTTGTAGGTATGTAGGGCAATCTTTCAGCTATGCTCCTGCAGAGTGCAAGGGGGTTGGACTAGATGACCTGCAAGGTCCCTTCCAACTCTAACATTCTATGATTCTATGATAAGGTTGAGTAAACGTGGAAAATCACCGTGTTTAAACAAAACACGCAGTTCTGATGTGCTACTACAACTGCATTATTCGATTAAATCATATACTTATAATGTACAGTATTATAAGTATATTATAAGTAAAATAGGACTACCCTGACCTGGATAGCCCAGGCCAGCTCAGTCTTTTCAGGCTCAGAAGCGAAGCAGGGTCGTCCCGGGTTAGGACTTGGTTGGGAGACCACGAAGGAAGTCCAGGGCTGGTACGCAGAGAACGGCCATGGCAAACCCCCTATGAACATCTCTTGGCTTGAAAACCCTACAGGGTTGTCGTAAGTCAGCTGCGACTTGACGACACTTTCCACTACCAGAGGAAAGTGACACCTCAACACTTTCTCTGGCCACACAATATATCCAAATTGTTAAAACCATGCAAGGGGTTCCAAAAAGTGGTCTGTGCACAGTTTTACGGACGTGTTGCTATTCTGAACCAGCAAATGGAACTGTTGCTGCGGACCAACATGGCTACCCAACTGAAGAAGTGTGCATGAGCATGAAAGCTTACACCCAGAATTAAGGTGCGTTGGACTTAAAAAGTCCCCACTGGACTCAAACTTTGTTCTGTTGCTGCAGACCGACATGGCTACCCGCCTGAAGAAGTGTGCGTGCAGAAGCAAGCTTATGCTCAGAATTAAATTGGACTCAACTGGACTCAAACTGTGTTCTGTTGCAGTTAGAATGTGCACCTCATCCTATGCTCACTGGAGTTTGAAACCCCAATGTGATGTTGTACCAAATACATACACTGGGTAAGCGTCTACCCAGAATTAAATTTTGTTGGTCTTAAAGGTGCCCCTGGACTCAAACTTTGTTCTATTGCTTCAGACCAACAGGGCTGCCCACCTGAATCTAACTGCAATAAAGACTGTTGTATCGTCTTCCAAATAAGTGGGTTCTAGACCAAATCGAATTATGGTGCTGGAGAAGGCTCTTGAGGGCCTCTTGGACTGCAAGGAGATAAAATCAATGAATCCTCAAAGGAATCAACCCTGACTGTTCCCTGGAAGGCCAGATATTGAAGCTGAAGCTCCAATACTTTGGCCACCCAATGAGAAGGGGGCACTCACTGGAGAAGACCCTGAGGCTGGGAAAGATGGAAGGTCAAAGAAGACGGGGTCAGCAAAGGATGAGATGGTTAGACAGTGTTATTGATGCAACGAACATGAAATTAAGCAAACTCCAGAGCACGACGGAAGACAGGAGGACCTGGCGTGATGGGGTCCATGGGGTCGCGAAGGGTCGGACTCGACTGTGCGACTAAACAGCAGACCAAATCAAGCCTGAGCTCTCCCCAGAAGCTAAAATGACCAAACGGAGGCTACTGTACTGTAGTCACATTGTGCAAAGAGAAGCATCACCAGAAAAGATAGTTATGCTAAGAGATGTTGAAGGCAGCAGGAAAAGAGGAAGACTCAATGTGAGGTGGACGGACTCAATCAAGGAAGCCACAAGGGGCCTCCGTTTGCAAGACCGGATCGAGGCTGTGAACAATAGGATAGTTTGGAGGTCATTGATTCATGGGGTCACCAGAAGTTGGAAGCAACTTGACCACATATCACATACAGAAACGCACACGTATCTTTCTCCATGCGATAATACTGGTATCAGTATATGCTTTGGTTAACGATGGGCATCCAGCTAGGGATATGCATTTGGTTCATCCAAACCGAATGCACCTCCGAAAATGTCCCTTCCTTGACTTGCCTGCGCATACCGTGGCTGCGAGGCGCCCGGGCAAGCCGTCCCTTGGCTTGCCCATCCTCCCCACCTAAAAGTGATTCAAGGCCCACGAATGACCCCCGAATCCACTTAGATTGCTGAGAGTGGCATTCAGGGGTTATTTGGGGGGCTGAATCAGATTCGGCCTGATTCGGTCGAAACGAATCAGGCTGGTTTTTTTCTTGCACACCCCTACATCCAACAATTGGATGAAACTAAATTAATGCATGCTTAATAAAATCAACCACGAGTGCGTGGCACAATAATGATGAACAAATGGATCGTGGCCTGAGGCATCATGGTCCGAGGACCTCTTAAGCAGGCACACAAAGAGGCTGACCCATTCAGAGTCTAGGTTCCGATACCTTTGTTAGTTTTTAAGGTGTCAAAAGACTCTTGGTTGTTTTGCCTGCACTGCAGTAACACGATTCTCCCTCTGGAATTTGCCTTTTTAAGCCATTGAACAATCTCTCTAATTAGGTTGCAAACCTAATTCATCTAATGAATAATTAACCTAATTAAGAAGTTCCCTCTTTGTATTTTCGCACAGACCCTCCAAATACCTGCGTAAAAATCTAATCCAATTAACATGAAAAGCACAGTTCGATGAAACAGTTGTTCCGCAGAACATTTCCATATCATTTCCATACAAACTGTATTCCTTGTACGGTCCAGTTGACAAAATGTCGGTGTTTTACCAGGAAACCCAACTGCGTATCATCTTTCCACCAAACTAGGTAGAAACTATGATGAAGAGCAAAATCAAGAGGGTAAAGGGTAGAAACGACTGCAAAATATCTGGGAGGTCTACCCATGAACCCAGGAGATGAGAAGTCCCTCCGGCCAAGCCCGAGTTCTCCCAGCTTATTAAGTGGGGATAAAAAGTATCTACTTCATCAGATTACTGTGAAGATTACAGATCTTGGCCCATGATCCTCAAGAGCCAGTGTGGCTCAGTGGTAGATCATCTGCTTGGCCTGCAGAAGGTCCCGGGTTCAGTCCCCGGCATCTCCAGTTAAAAGGACCAGGCAGTAGGTGGTGGGAAAGACCTCCGCCTGAGACCCTGGAGAGCTGTAAAGAGGGGCTGTGGCTCAGTGGCAGAGCCTCTGCTTGGCATGGAGAAGGTCCCAGGTTCAATCCCCGGCATCTCCAGTTAAAAGGACCAGGCAGTAGGTGGTGGGAAAGACCTCCGCCTGAGACCCTGGAGAGCTGTAAAGAGGGGCTGTGGCTCAGTGGCAGAGCCTCTGCTTGGCATGGAGAAGGTCCCAGGTTCAATCCCCGGCATCTCCAGTTAAAAGGACCAGGCAGTAGGTGGTGGGAAAGACCTCCGCCTGAGACCCTGGAGAGCTGTAAAGAGGGGCTGTGGCTCAGTGGCAGAGCCTCTGCTTGGCATGGAGAAGGTCCCAGGTTCAATCCCCGGCATCTCCAGTTAAAAGGACCAGGCAGTAGGTGGTGGGAAAGACCTCCGCCTGAGACCCTGGAGAGCAGCTGCCAGTCTGAGCAGACAATACCGACCTTGGTGGACCAAATTGTCAGATTTGGTATAAGGCAGCTTCATGTGTGTATTCATGATGGAAGGCCTAAAGAAAATCTGTTGGCTGTCATCAGTGCTTTCCCTCAACGGAAGTTTCCAGCTGTATGTTGGCTGCATCACAGACTAAACAGAGGAAACGGCCTTGTTCTGAACCAGACCCTTGGTCCATCATTATCAGTATTATATACTTCAACTGGCAGCTGCTCTCCAGGGTCTCAGACAGAAGCCTTTCATATCCCATAGGAACAGAAGAGAAGCCAGTGTTGGATCAGGCCAGTGGCCCATCCAGTCCAACACTCTGTGTCACACAGTGGCCAAAAATACCAGGGGCCATCAGGAGGTCCACCAGTGGGGCCAGGACACTAGGAGCCCCCTCCCACTGTTGCCCCCCCTCAAGCACCAAGAAGACAGAGCATCCCTTGCCCCAGACCGAGAGTTCCTACCTATACCTTGTGGCTAATAGCCACTGATGGACCTCTGCTCTATATGTCCATCCAAACCCCTCTTAAGAACATAAGAGAAGCCAATGTTGGATCAGGCCAAAGGCCCCTCCACTCCAACACTCTGTGTCTCACAGGGACCAAAAATACCAGGTGCCGTCAGGAGGTCCAGCAGTGGGGCCGGAACTCCAGAAGCCCTCCCACTGTTGCCCCCCCCAAGCACCAAGAAGACAGAGCATCACTTGCCCCAGAGCCCCTATCTATACCTTGTGGCTAATAGCCACTGATGGACCTCTGCTCCATATGCCTATCTAATTCCCTTTTGAAGCCGTCCATGCTTGTAGCCGCCGCCACCTCCTGCGGCAGTGAATTCCACGTGTTAATCACTCTTTGGGTGAAGAAGGACTTCCTTTTATCCGTTCTAACCTGACTGCTCAGCAATTTCATTGAGTGCCCACGAGTCCTTGTATTGTGAGGAAGTTCTTGTATCACCTACTGCCTGGTCCTTTTAACTGGAGGTGCCGGGGATTGAATCTGGGATACGGTTGCCGTGTCCCCTTGGTCTTGCTGGCAGGGAGATCTGGGAGTTGCTCTGGGAGTGGGCAAGGACGTCCCCGACGTGTTGGCATCACCCGGAAGTGAGGTCACCACGTCGGTGATGTCGGGGGTGATGCTCTGGTTTTTGGGTGAAACTCTATGATAAAATCACAGTCAAACCATAGAGTTTTGCCCAAAAACCAGAGCGTTGCCATGCAACATCCCCAATGTGATGGTGTCACTTCCTGGTGATGTCATCATGTCAGGGACATCGCGTAGGGATGTTGCCGTTTGTGGCGGAAGCCCCCAAAACCAGGGGATTCCCCACCAGGACCTGGGGAATAGCAACCCTAACCTGGAACCTTCTGCCTGCCAAGAAGATGCTCTACCGCTGAGCTAGGGCCCCTCTCCATGGCTCTCCGGGGTCTCAGGCAGAGGCCTTTCCCATCACCTCCGGCCTGGTTCTTTGAACGGGAGGTGCTAGGGATTGACCCTGAGACCTGTTGCATGCCAAGCGGAGGCTCTGCCACTGAGCCACAGCCCCTCCCCAAAAGGGGTCAAGAGTCACATGGGCACATGAAGCTGCCCTCTACTGAATCAGACCCTCGGTCCACCAAGGTCAGTATTGTCTACTCAGACAGGCAGCAGGTCTCCAGCGTCTCAGGCAGTGGACCTTCACATCACTTACTGCCAGGAGTGCGACGGCGGCAGTACTGACGGCGGCGGAGTAATGGCGGCAGCAGAGACGATCTGAGGATGTGGCGACGACGGTTGGAGGCGGAGCTGTGATGACGCGATGGCGCAGAAGACGCAGCACGGCGGAGCCTGAGGGATGTTGGCCGAGCTGCAGTCAAAGCGGCCGCGCGCCAGAGGGACACCAGCTGAAGCCTGCCGAGGATGCCGTCGGCCCATCCGATGCACCAGAAGTAACATCAGAGCCCGCCCGCCCGGAGAGAACAGCAACAGAACATACGCCGCTGGGTGCCGGTAGGCAGCCCCTTCCCAAAAATGAATTGTGGCCCTAGATTAGGATTAATTGGTATATATATATATATATACCCTCTGTAAACCACTCTGAGACCCTTCGGGGAAGGGCGGTATAGAAATCGAAACTATAAACTATAAATTACTGCAAGATCTTTTAACTGGAGATGCCAGGGGTTGGACCTGGGACCTTCTGCATGCTACGCAGAGGCTCGTCCGCTAAGCCGTGGCCCCTCCCCAAGGGGATGGAGTTGAAGGGGAGAAGATGTGGGTGGGGGGAAGGGGAGGCACCCTTTCCCTTACCCGACGCTCCTCCCCTGCAGACGTCCTCCTCCTGCGCACACCCTGCTCAGCAGCCATGCGCCCGGGATTTCTAGACTTCACTCTGCTGCAGAACCTCCATTTCGGCCCACAGAGATACTCCTGCCTATAAATCATACATAAATATTTGGCTTTCAGTCCTTTTCTAGCAGATGCTCCAAGTCTGCGGAAAGGGAACCTGCGGGGTGTTTGTTCACTTCCTCGCTCAGTTTGGCACAACTCAAACCGCTTGCCATTGGGTAAATTCCGTTTCTGGATTTAATTAACCACCCAAAGCAACCGCCGACAATTAAAATGCCATTTCTTCCGACATGTTCTTTCTGCCTCATCTCTGCCGAGTGCTAAAGCTGACACCGACAGGGCCCGGCGTGCCTCCTCTTCCTTTCCAGACAGCCGGATGCTCTTTAGTCACACTTCCAGAACTCCAAAGCTCATTGCTCTAGAGACGGCTGCGCGGCGTCGCAGACAGGGGAGCGAGTTTCGTTTCCAAAGTCTGAGAACCAGGAAGTGTTCGTGTGGATCGGCCCATTTACAGACAGCTTGACTGCTTCGGTAATAAGAAGACGTTTTTAAAAAATGTATTGCAAACTGAAATGTTCATCGGATGCAAAATATTACACACAATACAAAGCACAGCAGGAGTTTCGGGCAGTGCTGGCAACTCTGTGTTGGAAGACTCCCGGAGATCGGGAGGGTGGAGTCTGGGGAGGGTGGGATTTGGGGAGGGCCTCAGTGGGGTACAATGCCATAAAGCAGGGGTGGGCCCAACTGAGGCTCGGGAGCCTCTCCTCTGCCTCTGGCCAGGTGTTTCCTTAAATAGAGGCCTCCCCCAGCAGAGTGCTGGCAGCAGCTATTCAAATGCACCCAGGCACTCAATCACATGCAAAACAATGCCCCTTCCTTTTCCTCTCAATTGCAGTCAATCACAGTCAAACAATGCCCTTTCCTCTCTCAAGCAGCCAGGAATCTGCAAAAACTCCAAGCGCTTCCACACACTCCCAGACCAGTTCTCCCACCAAAATCCTCAGCTGGATCCTCTCCGCTGAAAGCAAATAAAAAACCACTCACCCCTCTGTCTCCTGCTCCTGCTCAGAGCTCAGCTGGGTCTCCTCAAACCCTCCCCAAACCCTAATCCCCATTAGGTCGTGATGATCATTCTCACCCCCGTTCACCCCATCTTGATGACTGCAGGCAATTGATGGTCATTGTTGCACGGCTGACACTCCGTACTCTTCCCCGCTTGTGGCTCACTCACCTGAGGTTGGAGGGGGAGGAGCCAGGCACAGCAGGTGGGCCACGAATGCACCACTGGGCTGTGTCTATTGATGGCCTTGCGTAGAGAGAGCCAAGACTCCGGTGTGCCCTTGCAGAGTCTTGAGTCTTCTGCTCTGTTTTTATAGGCAAGCAGAAACCCGGCCCGACGTCCTGCTCCAGCATCCAGCTGGCAGCAAAGTCCCTGGGACACACCCTGGTGATGGCTAGCGCGACGGTCTACGAGGAGTATTTTGAAACCAGCGCCACCTTCGCGGCTTACGAACCTCTCAAGGTGAGGAGGGCGCCCTCAACCTTGAGAAGGTGAAAAACTAGTGTGGAACTTTGTGTGAGATGAACTTTTTGTTGTGTGTGGCAACCAGGCGGTGAACCCCGTGGTGCTGGCTTTGGTGACCTGGCATTCCGCGAAGGAGATGGTGTTCGAGGGAGGCCCGGGCCCGTGGGTTTTAGAACCCTCCCGCTTCTTCGTGGAGCTCAGAGTGGAGCGGGCGGACAAAGTCCATGTGATGGAGGTCCGGTTGACATCCAAGAGGAAGCCGAACCAGTATATTTACCGGATCACGTGCCTGGAGCTGGGAGAGCAGGTAAGAGGAAGGTGTGCGCGCTCCCTTCCCTCCAAAACACTGTCACCCATAAGAATCCAACCAGTTGACGAGGGAGCTACAAGTTCAGAATGTGGGCTGGGGGGACCTCAGGTTCAAGCGTCACCTTGACCTGGCACTCAGAAGGTGGCCTTAAGCAATCTGCTGTCTCTCAGTCCCATTCTCTGCATCTTACACTGCGATGATTATCCTCACCTCCTTTACGAGGCTGTTGGTGACAAGACAATGGGCTGGGTCTTGCCAGGCTGGCATCAGCGGGTTCCTCCAGTGTAGGGAGGGGCTGTGGCTCAGTGGAAGAGTTTTGTATGCAGGAGGTCACAGGTTCAATCTTCGGCAGCGTCTCCTATTTAAAAGGAGCAGGTGATGTGAAAGGCCTCTCTGTCTGAGACCCTGGAGAGTCACTCTGCCAGAACAGACAATACTCTGATGGGGCTGTTGATCTGATTCAGTATAAGGTGTAGCTTCTTGTGTGTTTCGTGTGTCACTTGCTGACCCAGGAGGCTCTTCCACAGGCAGAGGAGGCCCTCGCATCAGCTGCAACCTACCTCATGCCAGGGGCACGTGCCCGTGGCACAGACTGGTATTATTATGAAGGCTGCTTCTTAGAGCTGGTCTTGGCTATTGAATCCTGTTCAGAATGCAGAGCTTGTTGAACGTGGCCACACAGATACCCAGATGCTGCACCCGGGACCCACGCCGTGCCTCGGAGGGCAGAGTGCACCGTGGAATGAGTTCCTCGGACGCCGAAGGCCACGATCGCCTCGATATGAGGGAAGCCCAAGGCGGGCGACCGGAACCCCCATGGAGAACACCCCCGCTCCCACCGAGAGATGGAAAGGCCCAGGGGGGGGAGTGCCAGGGAAGAAAACAGAACTGATAAAAGAGAAGCAGCCAGCAATGGGCCTGCAGGGCGGGCATGCACAGGCTCAGAGGCGCCAGAGCTGGAGAAGCCCGCACTTACCAGAGAGAGAGCAGTCCGAAACGCCGTGGCAGATGGCGTCCATCCCCCTTTCTGCACCGGAAGCAGCCGCGCCCACCCACATCCCGGCTCAGGAAGGGAATCACGGGGAAACCCAGGAGGGAGGGACTGGGGTTAGGGTTGCCAAGTCGAAAAATCTACTTACCGGGGGACTCCCGGGCCACGGCTGGAGCGCGCGCGCCGCACGCACGTCACCAGGAAGTGACGTTATGACACCGGGCACGCTGGGGGCAGGGCCACGACCATCCTAGGGAAAAACATAGAGTTTTCCCTCAGATGACTGTGGCCCCGTCCCCAGCGTGTCCGGCATCATAACGTCACTTCCTGGTGACGCGCACGCTGGGGTGGGGTTCCCCCCGGGGCCCGATCCGCCGCCGGTGGGGAACGGGCCTCTGGGGCGGGGATTTCCCCGCCCCCCGGGGGGACTTGGGAAGCCTAACTGGGGTAGAAAGGCACCATAGAGGAAGCAGCTGGGGTGATTGGCACAGGGAAGGAGCAATGGTAGCACGGGAGAAAAAAAGGGAGGAGTCACTAGGGCGGGGGAGGAGGGTAAAAGGAGGGAAGCAAATGAGAGTCGAGGAGGATGTCGGTGGCAACTGGCTTGGATCCTCAGAGAGAGACTGGTTGTAGCGGCTGTTGACCCCAAGGGAGGGGGCTCTGGGAGTGACGGAACTCCAGGCTCCTTCCACATCTGAGACCCTCGCTTCCCTCCTGATTCCTCTGACAGCACGGAAAGTGGTCCTTCCGCGCCTGGGGCCACCCCGGCGTGTGACACTGGCAAAACCAGATCGTGTTCTGATCACAAGGCCGGCTCACCTCGGCACCGTACAAAGTCACTTGAGTGCACTCTGATATTTACACAGTGCGGTAGAGGGACAGCTGCCTAGGCAGCTTCTCCCCTTTTAGCCTTAAAGGCTTAGTGAAACGTGAAAGGAGATTAAAAGACCTGTGCCTGCAGCCTCCATCGCACTCGCCTGTGTTGAGGTGGGGGCGTTGCCCGTGAGACCCGGATTTACGCTAGCTCCTCACAGCCTCCAGACGACCACCCTGTTTAATGCTCAGTAGTGTGGAGGTTTCACGTATCCCCTTTTCCGCTTGATGTGAATAAACTGACCATGCAGGAGGATTTTGACACATTTAAAATGATCCAAGTGTTGGAAGAAAATGTGTTCCCACACACCCCCTCCCTGTGGTTCGTGTCCTCTAGTGTGTTGCCTCTCTTATCAAAGGCAGAAGGTGCAGTTTGAAACGCTGAGCGCTGGCTAGAGACACTCCAAGCAAAGGTCTCTATATATATATTTGTTTTATTTAAGAAAGGCCCAGTACTCAGAGTTTACCTGACAAGATGAAACAGCAAGACGCTGTATCAACTTGACACACAATACACATCTATTTCAATAACTATAGATAGTAAACACATACACAAAAATTGAATATGCAGACACAGTTTCCCACCCAACAAAACATGCAACCCAGCAAAGAGATCTCTTTGGGTTGACTTCCAATTCCCCAGGAGTGTCTGGAGTTTCAGAAGCCAACGAACTTCTGCTGGTCTCACCACTATTTATACCAAATGATCAAAGGGTTTCTTTTGATAATCCTATCACAGCTACTTATTTACAAGGGGAAATTGTCTACTGTAAATTGTTTCTGGAAGTTGAGATTGTAAATCCCTTCCTTCCACCGAAAGTTCACACTGGGATGAGTTTGTTGTTTCCCTGTGGTTCCCACCATTTGGGCCACAGGTTCTTTGAAGCTACCAGATTGCTACTTCAAAGTTATCTTCTAAGGTATGTGAAATCTTGTCTCTGGGATTGCATATTGAATTAGGGTCCAGCTGCAATTGCTATTGTCTTTAAATTGTGGGTCTCATACTCGTATTGATTCAAACAGATTGTCCTTTTGGTGTTATCGTTGAGGTAAAATCAGGGTTTGTTTGAACTTCTGTTTCCCATTTGCATTGTGAATTTGAAGGCCCAGCTGCACAAATGGTTATGCATTTTATGGCCTGGGCAATTTTGGGTTTGTCACTTCTCATGCTGGCCTTCCTGACAAGTTGTTTAATGTAAGTCGCTCACACCTTGGGGGCTGGGGAATGGAATGTTGATTATACTGAGGGCAAAAGGGCTTTGGCAAGAATCATAGTGAGCCAGGCTGTGACTGTCTGTTAGCAAAAACAGAGCCAGATATACATATGTGGATTTCATAAACTGTTTGGTTCATTTTTAAACCCAAACCCTTCCATATTTCTGAAAATTCTTACCACACCAAGCCTGCTGGCTGACCAGCCTCTCCTTTGCTTGCTCCCCAAAAGGTATTGACGTTTCAGGTGGGCAACCATCCCGGAGTGCTGAACCCCAGCCCTGCCGTGGAGATGGTGCAGGTGAGGTTCGTTTGTGCCCACCCTGCCAGCATGGCCGTGATGCCCGTGTACAAGCTGGCGGCTGGCACTCTGCCTTGTCCCCTGCCTCAGCACCACAAGCAGCTGGTAAGTCTTCCGGGAAAGTGTTCCTTAGCGCTGCTGCTTTGTCTCAGTTCTGCAGGTTGTTTGGGAATGTCAGGAAGAGGTTGGACACATATCTGGGGGGGAGGGGTCGTGGCTCAGCGGAAGAGCCTCTGCTTGGTGTGCCGAAGGTCTCAGGTTCAATTCCCCGGCATCTCCAGCATAAAAGGACCAGGCAGTGGGTGATGTGAAAGACCTTTCCCTGCCTGAGACCCTGGAGAGCTGCAGCTAGCCTGAGTAGGGGCTGTGGCTCAGTGGCGGAACATCTGCTTGGCACACAGAAGGTCCAAGGTTCAGTCCCCAGTATTGCCAGTTAAAGGATCTGGCAGTGGGTAATGGGGAAGACCTCTGCCTGGGACCCTGGAGAGCCACAGTCAGACTGAGTAGGGGCTGTGGCTCAGTGCAAGAGGAACTGCTTTGCATGTAGAAGGTCCCAGATTCAGTCCCCACATCTCCAGTGTGGATCAGGTAAGAACATAAAATCCTAGAATCACAGAGTCAGAAGGTGTCCCACAGGCCATCTAGTCTGACCCCCTGCACTCATTGCAGGATCAGCATAGAGCATCCCTGACAAGTATTCGTCCAGCCGCTGGTAGGGGGAGCTCACCACCTCCCTAGCAGGGAGGGGGAGCTCACCACCTCCCTAGGCAGCCCATTTCACTGCTTAGCATGCAGAAGGTTGCAGGTTCAATCCCCGGCATCTCCAGTTTAAAGGACCAGGCAGTAGGCAATGGGAAAGACCTCCGCCTGAGACCCTGGAGAACTACTGCCAGTCTGAGTAGACAATGCTGACCTTGATGGACCAATGGTCTGATTCAGCATAAGGCAGCTTCATATATGTATTCTTGTTTGGGGAGGGGCTGTGGCTCAGTGGTAGAAGAAGAAATTGGATTTATACCCCACACTTCACTCAGAGTGGCTTACAATCCCCTTTCCCTTCCTCTCCCCACAAGATACCCTGTGAGGTAGGTAGGGCTGAGAGAGCTCTGAGAGAACTGCTCTTGAGAACAGCTCTGAGAGAACTTGTGACTGACCCAAGGTCACCCAGGTGGCTACATGTAAAAGAGGGGGAATCAAACCCAGTTCTCCAGATTAGAGTCCTGCCACTCAACCATGACACCAAACTGGCTCTTCTGGTGGAAGCGGTCACACAATGGCTGCCGCAGCTTACCCTCTGTCACACAGTGAAGCTCCTTGTGCTGTGGTGGCAGCGGCTGCCAAGCAAGTGGTACTCAAACATACAAGCAAGTGGTACTCAAACATAAGAAGAGGAGATTGAATTTGTACCCTGCCCTTCACTACCCAAAGGAGTCTCAGAGTGGCTTGCAATCTCCTTTCCCTTCCCCTCCCCACAACAGATATCCTGTGAGTTAGGTGGGGCTGAGAGAGCTCTTTCGAGAACTGCTCTTGAAAGAACAGCTCTGAGAGAACTGTGACTGACCCAAGGTCACCCAGCTGGCTGCATGTAAAAGAGGGGGAGAATCAAACCCAGTTCTCCAGATTGGACTCCGCTGCTCTTAACCACTACATCAGACTGGCTCTCTGAGCATTTGCTCAGCATGCAGAAGATCCCAGGTTCCATCCTTGGCATCTCCAGTTAAATCAGGTGGTAGGTGATGTAAAAGACCTCCTGAGACTCCGGAGAGCCTCTGCCAGTCTGAGAAGACAATGCTCACCTTGACGGACCAGTGGTCTGGTTCCATATAACCTAACACAACTTCATGTGTGATACTAATTAATATTTAATCTGGTGGGATGGTAGGGCTAGACTGGGAAACCACAGACGGGCTGCCATGGGGGATCTAGTCTGGTAAACTCTCTGGAATAAGAGATATAAAACTGCATCCCAGAGCCCTCTTCAGGCAAAGAACGGAACAGAGTTTCCAGCCTCGCTGAAAGGAAAGCCACGAGAGGCTTTGGGGTTGTTCCAGGCTGGAGACAAATACCCCAAACTGGGCTCCTGGACAGCAGAGCAGAATCCTTCTCAATTGTTCCTGGCTTAGGATTCCAGCTCCCCGTACTGTTTGCGGCTCCAGCTTCTGCCCTAGTGCTTGGCGTCTCTCATCATGCCTTGCGGTCACCTCAGTTTGGCTTAGGAAAGCCAGCCCATTGCCTGGCTCGGCTTGGGTGAGAACACAAACAGTATCCCCCAAATGTGCCCCTAAATGGACTTCCTTTCAGCTGGGATCAATATGCTGTCTGTGCATCCTGGCAGAAACATCTATGCATTGTGGCGTTTGTGTGTAGAGGAGGAGGAGGAGATTGGATTTATACTCCACCCTTCACTACCTGAAGGAGTCCCAAAGCGGCTTATCATCTCCTTTCCCTTCCCCTCCTTTTTCGAGGACTGCTCCTGAGAGAACAGCTCTGAGAGAACTTTTGACTGACCCAAGGTCACACCAGCAGCTTCATGTGGAGGAGTGGGGAATCAAACCCGGTTCTCCCAGATTAGAGTCTGCGCACTTAACCACTACACCAAACTGTGTGGATGAGTGGCAGAATGGGTACTGGAATGGGTACCCTGCAATGGCCTTGATCCCAGAGAGACGGCAATTTCCCACCGGAATCCACCTTCTGGGTGTTAAATGCATGTTCCTGGGCTGTTGGGATTCCCTTAGGTCCCCGTGTCCAGCTTGCGGAACACAGTCTTGGAGCTAGCTCTGTTTGACCAGCACCGGAGGAAGTTTGACAACTTCAGTTCCCTGGTCCTGGAATGGAAGTCGGCCAATGTCACCCTTGCGCACTTCACTCACCCACAGTCCATGCAGATGGTACCGAAGGACGACGGGACTGGACAAACCAGGCTGCACGGTACGGCTTCTCATCATGCCCTGAACAGTTTAGGCAACGATGCATATGTGTGCGTGAAAGAGACAGACAGACAGAGGGACAGAGTGAAGTAATCATGTCTCATCTCTAATGCTTAGAATCACAGAATCACAGAGTTGGAAGGGGCCCTACAGGCCATCTAGTCCAATGTAGACTTTGAGAGGGTTCAATAATGACACACCACACAGCAGAGATTTCTTGAAGCTGACTGATCAGCTCTGTCTCTCTGTATCAAACCGACTTTCTGACAGGCTGTCAGCAATGTTTTTATTCAGAGGAAAAATCCAAGCTCACACATTGCACAGTGAAATCGTTACTCTTAGAAGCTTCTAACTAAAAATCACACTATGTTCTTCTCACAGCCAGGATTATCTATTGAATGTTGCAAAGCTTGTGCTTTCAGTAATTCATTGTGCTCTCAGAGTAATTTAGCAGACTCGTGCAGATTCAAAAAGACCTTTGTGCATTTTGCCAATCTCCCGGTGAGAACTTGAGATTCTCCTGGGCTTGCCTTCACGGGAGTCTCTCATATTCCCACAGTCCAACCCCCTGCTCAATGCAGGATCAGAGCATCCCCGACAAGCATTCGTCCAGCGTCTCTCATATTCCCACAGTCCAACCCCCTGCTCAATGCAGGATCAGAGCATCCCCGACAAGCATTCGTCCAGCGTCTCTCATATTCCCACAGTCCAACCCCCTGCTCAATGCAGGATCAGAGCATCCCCGACAAGCATTCGTCCAGCGTCTCTCATATTCCCACAGTCCAACCCCCTGCTCAATGCAGGATCAGAGCATCCCCGACAAGCATTCGTCCAGCGTCTCTCATATTCCCACAGTCCAACCCCCTGCTCAATGCAGGATCAGAGCATCCCCGACAAGCATTCGTCCAGCGTCTCTCATATTCCCACAGTCCAACCCCCTGCTCAATGCAGGATCAGAGCATCCCCGACAAGCATTCGTCCAGCGTCTCTCATATTCCCACAGTCCAACCCCCTGCTCAATGCAGGATCAGAGCATCCCCGACAAGCATTCGTCCAGCGTCTCTCATATTCCCACAGTCCAACCCCCTGCTCAATGCAGGATCAGAGCATCCCCGACAAGCATTCGTCCAGCGTCTCTCATATTCCCACAGTCCAACCCCCTGCTCAATGCAGGATCAGAGCATCCCCGACAAGCCTTCGTCCAGCTGCTGCTTGAAGACTGCCAGTGAAGGGGATCTCACTGCCTCCCTAGGCAGCTGATTCCACTGTTGCACAACTCTGACTGTAAAAAAGTTTCTCCAGAGATCCAGCCGGTACCTTCCAGCCCTTAATTAATAACCCTAATTATTGCGAGTCCTCTCCTCTGCTACCGACAGGAACAGCTCCCTGCCCTCCTCTGAGCATAAGGTAAAGGTTTCCCTTGCTCGAAAGCCAGTCGAATCCAACTCTAGGGGGTGGTGCTCATCTCCGTTTCTAAGCCGAAGAGTCAGTGCTGTCCAAAGACATTTTCGTGGTCGTGTGGCCGGTGTGACTAAACGCAGAGGCACACGGAACGCTGTCACCTTCCCACCGAAACGGTATCTATTCATCTACTCCTCTGACAGCCCTTCAAATGCTTCAAGAGGGCCATCATGTCCCCCCTCAGCCTCTTCTTCTCCAGACTTGAACATTCCCCTCAGCCTTTCCTCCCAGGGCTTCTCGGTCCCCAGCCCCCCCCCCCCGTCATCCCTGTCGCTCTCCTCTGCACCCGCTCCATTCTGTCCACGTCCTTGTTGAAGTGAGGCCTCCAGAACTTGCACACAGTACTCCAGATCCAGCCCAACCAATGCAGTGTACAGCCGGGACAGTGACATCTTGCGATTCGGATGTCGTGCTTACAGCAGTTCTCCATGAATCTCACGTGCAAGGGTCTCGGCCCCCCAACTCTGCTGTCCCTTCTTAAGAATTGGCATTGCCTGTTAACGTCGCAAACTCTGCCTCTTTCTCCTCCTCTGCCCCTGTCCCCAATGCCAGGGCATCAGCTCCTAGAGGTGCATCAGATCAAAGGGACCGTCCTGATCGCAGTCAACTTTGTGAAATATTCAGAAAGAGGCAGCCCGAAAGTGAGTCTAGGGCTGTTCTGTTTGTCTGTCTGTTTTTATTTTAAAAGGACCTGTGCAGTGGTTCAGTTAAGGGAGGTCGGATCACCCAGGATACGTGAATGGGAACGTTCCCCCCACGCAGCACCCTGAACGCTGCCTTCCTTCAGAAGGAAAAGGCGTCTGCTGCAGGATAAAACCCTTCAGTGCATGCATGACCTGGAGATGCAGGAATTTGTTCCTGTGGGAAAACAAAATCACTTTGCTGGGAGAGGGGAGGGTGTTTCCCCTGGTGTTGACCCGGTTTGTGCGGAAGCACCCTCTGAGGAAGCGTTTCTCTGGCTTGCGTTTGTGAACTTAGGAGGTCTCTAACTCTCCCGCCTCTGCAGCTGTGGAACTGTTGCTTGTCGAGGACGTGACGGTGGTTCCCGATAACGTCACTATGTACAACCACCCAGATGTAAAGGTAGGACCAAAGGAGCGCTTGTGACGGAACACGTTCTCTGGTGGTAGAGGAGGAGATCCCAGTCTGGGGACTCCTCCTACACCCTCTGCAGGAGGGACTGTGCTAACTGGCCAAGGCTTTAACTTACCCAGTTAACAGCCCTAGCTCCCCAGTTAGGTTCCTTTCCTCCTTTGTCGACATTCTAAAATATTCTGTCTCTTTCCTTATTCTTCAGCGGCCCTTCCTGACACGCCCAGGGAAATGCTGATGGCCACTTTGGGGCCAGGAAGCCATTTTTCTCCAGGCCAGACTGGCCCAGGGATCCTGGAGGTTTCTTGTCATCTTCTGGGCATGGAACAGGGGTCACTTTGGGGTGTGTGCAGGGGGAGGAATTTGTGAATTCCCTGCATCCTGGTGGTCCCTTCCAACTCTGATTCTGTGATTCTTTTCCACCCCCGTAACTTCTGACATGGATGGCCCAGGCTTGCCTGATCTTATCAGCTCTCATAAGCCGTGTTCCCTCTAAGCCGAGTTATCACGAGCTAGCTCACAGGTCTTTAGCCTCCGGCTCACACCTTTTTGTCTTAGCTCAGGAAGGACGGCTCCAGTCCAGAGCAAACTACTTGATGCAGCAGCCAAATCACCTGCTCACAACCAATGCTCCCTTCTAAGCTGTGGAGTCTTGTGAGCAAAAATTCTACTTTGTGAGCTGCCGGCATTAAAGTTGTGAGCGAGCAATCTGGCTGCTGCATCAGTCGGTTTGCTCTGGAGCCCCATCCTTCCTGAGCGGAGACAGAAATCTGTGAGCCGCAGGCTAAAAAACGGTGAGCTAGCTCACACTAAACTCAGCTTAGAGGGAACACTGCTCACAACTTAAATGCCAGTAGCCCACAAAGTGGAATTTTTGCTCACAGGACCCCACAGCTTAGAGGGAGCATCGCTCGTAAGCTCAGCAGGGTCGGCCCCGGTTAGTACTCGGATGGGGAACCACCAAGGAGGTCCAGGGTTGCTCCGCAGAGGCAGGCAAGGGCAAACCGCCTCTGTTCCTCTCTTGCCTTGAAAACTCCCACGAAGGGTCGCTGTAAGTCAGCTGCCGCTTGACGGCCCTTTCCAACGCCGGCTTCTGATAAAATTTCTCCCCCCTGTGGGAAGGCACCGGGGGAAATGGGTCTTTCCTACTTCTCCCTCTCCCCCACAGCAGCTGAAGGCAGACAGGCACAAGCAGTGGCACACGTGGCAAATAGCCACAAGCAATGGCCAGCTGTCAGGAGGATGGGGATGCGGGCAGTCCACAGGCTTGGATCCACGGGAGGGTTTATTATTTCTGCATCGGGGGGGGGGGCATATTTGCTAATTCCCTGTTGTGCAGTGCGCGTAGGACAGCCTGCCTGCCTGCCTCTGCCAGTAGCAGCCAGCCACCAGGACTGTTTCAGCCACTCCAACCACTCACCAGCACTCACTGCAGAGTAAGCTCTGGATAGCACCACTCCAAGACAGTCCTGTGGTAAACTATATACAGATTGTATTTACAATATTTACAGTCCACTGACAAAGTGCTCCGCCAATCACCATAACAAGAGAAGAAAATGTACAGAGCAGCACTTGTCCAGTTATATACATACAGCGTCCAATCAGCTAAGTGCTGACTCATTGCCACTGACCTCATCCCTTATCAGGTCTCAACTGGTCAGGACCTGTTTCCAGCAGCTTGCCTGCTGACACATAGATCACCATGATCTGACAGCTGGATATTAACATCCGACATTCCCCTCACCTACCACAAGCTGGTGACTCCCTTACATGCTGTTCTGGGGCGGGGGCAGCATTTGGGAGGGGGCCTTTGCGGCTGCAGTGGGAAGGTGGAGGTGAGAAGGTCGTGGCCTGCCAGCAAAACCCTCTGGGGGATCCAAGCTCTTGGCAGCCCATACGACCACCCAGGTGTAAAGATGGGTATGCTGGACCGGTAATTTCTAATATGTGATATTTTCTCAGTCACGCGCCCATCTGATTTAGTAACCGGACTCAAACAGCCCCCAGCTTCACCTTTAGGTGTGAACAAGAGGGTGTGCATCGATGAACACAGGCGGATCTTTTCACCATCTCTAGTCTGTGACCATCAGGAGTACTGAGACTTCCTGGGGTGGATCCAACCATCCACTAAAGAGCCTTCCCACAAATCTAAGTGGCTCTTCCTGCAATGGAAGGCGCCCGAGGCTGGTGGAAGGCCTCGTCCTTCTCTCAGTGGAGTGGCAGAATCCACCCCTCTGTCTTTGCTTTCCTGCCTGAAAGTAACCTCTAGACGTCTGCATCGGACCTTGGCCCTTCTTGTTCCACCACTGAGCAGCCTGAGCTAAGCAAACCTCCGGGTCGTTGAGGCCAAGAGCAATAGCCCTGGATAAGCCAGTACTTTACAGAAGCATGATCTGCGAAAGGGTCGGGCTCGATACTGCTCTGAAATTTTGCTTATGTTTGTGCCTTTCCAGGAAATATTTGCATTGGTGGAAGGCTCCGGCTACTTCCTCATCAACAGCAGTGAGGAGGAGATGGTGAACATCACTTACCTGGAGGCGGAGAGTGCGATCCATGTGAGCGCCTTACACCGGGAGTCTCACACAAAGAGAAAGCAGGGAGCCACAGGGTCTCAGTCTCTAGAACTTCACCAGAGGCCCTCCTCTCTGTGCCCCTTCTTTCTGAGGCCGTGCGGAGTCTTCTGTGCAGTGGCCCCCATATCTTTGAAATGTTTGGTTTTGCTCCGCTTTGCAAATGCCCTGCTTGCTGGTGGTGGTGGGGGGGTTTGTCTTAATTTGTAGTTTTCAATTGGATTAATCTTCTTGCCACTGCTGCTTTGAACAGAATTTGTTGTTCTGGAAAAGGCAGGATGTCAATAATTGTAACAAAGAAATAAACGGTGATCATGATTGGTCTACTTTACTGTATCAACTATCACTTTTTCTTGAAGGTTATTCCCGTCCTCCCTGGTTCTCTGACCTTGGAAGTCTACGATCTCTGTCTGGCCTTCCTGGGACCTGCTACGGCTTATCTGCGGGTATCTAATATGTTTGAACTGGAAGTGGATCTCGTTGACAAGGTGAGGCCTGCATCAGGCTAGCCAGAGCATAAGAAGAGCCCTGCTGGACCAGACCAGTGAGGGTCCATTTCGTCCAGCATCCTGTCTCACACAGGGGCCTCAGCCAGTTCCTCTGGAGGGCCAAGCACAGGGCAGAGAGGCCGAGGCCTTCCCTTGTTAAGAACATAAGAAGAGCCCTGCTGGACCAGACCAGTGAGGGTCCATTTCGTCCAGCATCCTGTCTCACACAGGGGCCTCAGCCAGTTCCTCTGGAGGGCCAAGCACAGGGCAGAGAGGCCGAGGCCTTCCCTTGTTAAGAACATAAGAAGAGCCCTGCTGGACCAGACCAGTGAGGGTCCATTTCGTCCAGCATCCTGTCTCACACAGGGGCCTCAGCCAGTTCCTCTGGAGGGCCAAGCACAGGGCAGAGAGGCCGAGGCCTTCCCTTGTTAAGAACATAAGAAGAGCCCTGCTGGACCAGACCAGTGAGGGTCCATTTCGTCCAGCATCCTGTCTCACACAGGGGCCTCAGCCAGTTCCTCTGGAGGGCCAAGCACAGGGCAGAGAGGCCGAGGCCTTCCCTTGTTAAGAACATAAGAAGAGCCCTGCTGGACCAGACCAGTGAGGGTCCATTTCGTCCAGCATCCTGTCTCACACAGGGGCCTCAGCCAGTTCCTCTGGAGGGCCAACAGCAGGGCATAAGAGGCGGAGGCCTTCCCCTGATGTAGCCTCCTGGCACTGGTATTCAGAGGTTGGCTGTCTCTGAACACGGAGGTTCCCTTTAGTCACCATAGTTAGTAGCCACTGATATATCGACCCTGATAGACATATTGGTGGTCAGCTACACATGCTGAATTTGCAAGTAACACCTTCCAGAATACATGCACAGACCCAGGAAGAAGAAAAGGAGAGTGTGTGTGATCTTTGGGCTGGGTCCCTGTGCTACAAGTCTGAATGTCTGTGTGGCTGAATCTCAGATCTACTGCTTTCAACCAAGAGTACACCTAAATGTTAGGCAGGGAATAATGGGGTTTTTACTCTGAAAAGTGTTCTTTAAAAGCTCTCTCTTTCTTGTTTTCAAGATTGAGGTTGGTAAAACTGTGCTGGTCTCCGTCAGAGTCCTGGGATATCATCGACACCCCTTCCGGAGTAGATACTTTATGTACATGCGACTACAGTTGAAGGCAGCCTCTCCTATTGTTACTCTGACGTACGTTCTTCATTATAAGCCACCTCTCTGGCCTTTTTCTGTAGACTCTATTGACTCACTGCTCCATCTTCAGGCACCAGTGCCGGCACATTACCAGCATAGTGACT